ATAATGAGCAAAGATTAAGAAATTTAAATACAATTAAAATTTGGTGTATTAAATAAAAATTGTGATGGCATTATATGTATCCACTTTTAAAAATAAAATTATATTATAATTTTAACCTTGTGTAAATTCACATAAATAAGCTTATATAAAATTAAATAAAAATATATCACTCTAAATTAATCCGCTAATATTTATTTTCATTAAATTCTTTTGGACCTTTTATATTTTTTTAGAATTTATGTTTAACTAAAATCCAAATATTCATAAAATATCATCTTCAACTAAAATCAAAACAACAATGAAAGACACATTATTAAAGCAAATACATACAAACATAAAAATATATAAAGAAGAATTTGAAAAGGTAAGGATTACTTTTTAGTGTGGGTTTGAGGTATTTGGTATGTGAATGATTCTTGATTTGTGTTTGAATTATTTGTCATTGTACATTTTGAATTCAATTAGTATCAATAAGAACTTTCATTTCGAATTTTTTAAGTTTTTTGTTGGAATTATCTTTTCTTTCTTGATTTTCTTGAATTGAAAATACTAATGTACATCTTTTTTGCTAAGATTATCAAAACGAATTTGGATTTTCGGATGGGATTATCTTTTTTAATTCTTGATTTTTTTTGAATTCAAAATAATGGTGATAGAAAATATGAAAGGATTATGAAGAAATTATGATGTGACAGATATATAAAAATTGTGTGGATATATAGATATATTTAAGCCCCATTTTTTTTTTTTTTTGTGGAAATAATGCATTTTGAAATAGTATTTTGATGGAAAATGTGTGGTTAAAAAATAAGAAAAAGTCTTGAGAATGAGTGTAATATTATTTTATTGAAAAATACGTAGTCGAAAATAAGAGAGAAAAATGNTTTTTTTTTTTGGAAATAATGCATTTTGAAATAGTATTTTGATAGAAAATGTATTGTTAAAAAATAAGGAAAACTTCTAGATTTGCGTGCAATATTATTTTATAAAAAATATGATTGAAAATAAGAGAGAAAAAAAAGTATTTTAAAAATAATAAGGACAATATTGAAATATGAGGTGGATGAAAATAATATTTTTTAAAAAAATTAAAATTTAATAGGGATAACATATAGATATATAACAATAGTGGATGTAAATATAGACTCCCTAAGTTTATTGATTATACTCAATTTTTTTAAATTAATGTTATTAAATCCATGTTTGAACCCCATTATATAAAAGCTCATTTTTAAGTTTTAACATACATTCTCTCAATAAAATAATTTTACATGAAAATTTAAAATTTTCTATATTTTTTAACCATACATTCTTCAAAAACTCAATATTACAAAATTCATTCACTCATAAAAATGGGGTTCCAACACACATTTAATTAAGTTCGAGCAAAATATGGTTAACCGACCGAGATATTAAAAAAAAATGAAATTTCAGTTTCAAGTAGTTAAAAAGTGAGTCATGCGATCGAAACTTTATTAGACGAAAGTCATATCGAAGATGGATGTGTCCCAAGACTAATGGTCAATTATAATCCCTAATTAATATTTGAATATGACATTTCAACAGTAAAGTGAATACAATTACTATAGACACCCGTGTACATCTAGATGAAAGTCTGCTATCAACTACACCAAAAATCTTAGAAATATAACCCTCTATTTGGGTTTCATTTTATTTTGTTAAAATTGTAATTTTTAAGAAATAAGTAATTGATAAATGGATAATTTTATGGATTCTACGAAATGTACTGTTAAAATTAATATTTAATTTTGAAAAATAAAACTTTAAGAGAAGAAAATGAATTAGAAAGGCTAAATTTAGGTGAAAAAAATCATTTTTTTCTTTCACAAAATTAGAAAGGATATTGGGCCTAGTTCAACATAACAAAATCGGATTGTT